TCGTTTTTGTTTTTTTGTTTGTTTGTTTGTTTTTTGTCTGTGAAGCTCCTGATTTCCCCTTTTATTTTTAATGAAAGCCTTGCTGGATAGAGTATTCTTGGATTTAGTCCCTTGCTTTGCATCTCTTTGTATACTTCATTATATTCCCTTCTGTTATGATGTGTTTCTGTTGAGAAATCATTTGATAATCTAATGGGAGATCCCTTGTATGTAACTTTCCGTCTCTCTCTTGTAGCCTTTAAGATTCTCTCTTTGTCCTGAACATTTGCCATAGTAATTATGATGTGTCTTGGTGTGGGTCTTTTCAGGTTCACCTTGTTTGGGACTCTCTGTGCTTGTGTGACTTTTTCTTCCCCACCTCAGGGAAGTTTTCTGATATTATTTCTTCACATAGGTTTTCTAACCGTTGTTTCTCTTTCTGTTGTTCTGGCACCCCTATTATTCATATGTTGTTTCATTTCATGTTGTCCCAAAGCTCCCTTAGGCTCTCCTCCTGTCTCTTAATTTTTTTCTCCAATTGTATTTCAGTTTGGGTATGTTTTACTTCCATCTTCTAATTCGCTAATTTGGTCCTCCGCTTCTCCTAGTCTACTGTTGAAACTTTCAATGTTGTTTTTTATTGCAGCTATATCACTCTTCATTTCTTTTGGTCCTTACATAATTTATTGATTTTTTCATCCGTTTCTTTTTGATTCTTACATAAATTGTTGATTTTTTCATCTGTTTCTTCTTGATTCTTGCATAAGTTGTTGATTTTTTTCCTCCATCCGGTTTATGCATTCTAGGACCCTTAATCTGAATTCTTTTTCCATCATGTTGCATACTTCTGTTTCTCTTAGTTGCTTTTCTGGTGAGTCCTCCTTTTCTTTCCTTTGGGGTTTTCTTTGTCTACCCATGTTTGCTCTCACCAACATATCTAGTTGTTGAGTCTTTCAGGGGGTGTTCCTTGGGTGGCAGTGGCTCCTCGGGCTGTGGTTGCTCCTCGGGCAGTTGTGGTAGCAGCTGCTCCTTAGTTGACAGCAGCTCCCCAGGTGGGTGCTGTTGACAGCTGTGGTGGCTCCTTTGGTTAGTGCGGGGAGGCTTCACACACAGCTGGTGTTCCTCAGACAGAGGGTGTGCTGATTATGAGGTTGCTGTTCCTTGGATGGGGGTGTGCTACACACGCAGCTGCTACTCCTTGGACTGGGGCAGACTGCTCACGTGGCTGTTGATCCTTGAATGGGGGCTGGCTGCATGGTGCTGTTGTTCCTCTGATGTGGTTGGCTGCTTGTGCAGCTGCTGTTCTTTGGACGGGAGTGAGCTGCACACATGGCTGCTCCTCCTCAGACGGGGATGGGCCACTCACCTGGCTGCTGCTCGTCCGACAGGTGCAGGCTGTTGTGGCTGTGCTTCTTGGACCAGTGTGTGCTGCACAGGGCTGCCGCTCTGTGGACGTGGGAAGTCTGCTCGTGTGGCTGCTGCTCCTCGGACTGGGGTGGGCTGCTGCTGCTCCTTTGATGGGGGCTGGCTGCTCACACAGCTGCTGTTCCTCGGGTTGGGCAGGCTGCTCATGTGGCTGCTGCTTCTTGGACGATGGCAAGATGCTTGAGCAGCTGTTGCTCCTCGTACTAGTGCAGGGTGCAGGCTGTGCACAGCTGCTGCTCCTCGGATGGGCGCGGGCTGCGCAGGGCTTCTGCTCCTCAGATGTAGGTAGACTGCTCGTGTGGCTGCTGCTCCTTGGACAGGTCGGACTGCTTACGTGATTGCTGCTCCTCGGACGGGGAAGCAGGCCATTCACACAGCTGCTGCTCCTTTCCTTGGACAGGGGCAGGCCACATGAGGCTGTTGCTCTTAGGCCTGAGGCAGGCTGCTCACGGGGCAGATGCTCCTTGGACAAGAGCACGTTGCTCACGTATCTGCTGTTCACGTGGTTGAAAAAATAATGTGAAAAGAAGTAGGAAATAAAGCAGCAAACAAAAAAAGAAGAACAAAGAAAAAAGAAAAAATAGCAACAAAGAAAATAGCAAAAAAAAAAAAAGCTAACAAAATAATAATAAAAAAATAAAAGAGAAAAATTAAAAAG